GTCAAGCGGCACCTCGGCAAAGTCGCCAAAAGAGGGCGGTGGCAAGCGGCCACGGGACTCATGGCGGCCCTCCAGCTGACGCTCGAGCTCCTGGGATAGACGGCTCAGGAGCCAGACATCTGGGCAGACCACGCAGGGACACAGTGGCAGATCAGCGACAACGAGGCAGCGGGTCTTACCGACGTCGAGGAGGCTACCAAGGAGGCAGCAGCTATCAGCTTATGGAAGCACGCAAGCAGACACCCTGAGGGCCAAGGTCTACATGCAGGAGCCGAAGTCCGCAGCATCCAGGCCAGCGCCAGGCACTTTCGGAAGCTCGGGCGACACCAGGAAGCTGGAGCTCTCGAAGCAGCAGCTTGCGCAGCCATCTGGACTAACTAGAGATGCCTTTCGGCAGGGTACAAGACGGCAGCTACGTGCACGCGCTGCGAGCTGGGGGTAAACGACACGCCCTTCCACCGCATATACGAGTGCCCAGGCACCAAGGAGATTGACGACCCCTGGGTCGAGAACACCAATGACCTGTGTGCCAGAGCACTTGCAGTACGCGGTGACCCTTATGGAGGCGGCCTTCTGGGCGCGCGGCCTCTTGCCCAAGCAGGTGTGCCCAGTGGACCCGCCCCCCTCAATGGGACAGCCTCGACAACGAGTTCGGGGCGGTCAGCGGGGAGCACTTTCAGTGGGAACGCGGTACCACCAGCGCCACTCGAGCCTTCACTGACGGCTCCGTCACCACCTCGGACAAGCGAACGGCCCGAGCGGGCTGGGGAGTGGCCCTGGAGCTGTTGGAGGGCGCGGGGGGGGGGGGGGGTACAGTCAGCACGACACGTGCCCAGGATGGTCTGGCATACTGGACGGCGACCAGACGATTGAAGCTGCTGAGCGCGCGGCAACCATGTGGACACTAAAGCTCACGAAGGGACCCATGGACATCATCTCGGACCCGCAGATGGTGGTGGACGGCTGGCACAGCTTCAGCTACATGAACCCAGCGGACCCCTGGCCAGATGACGGCACAGGCTGCGCAGAGTCATCGGGAACCGCGGGGGAGGCATCGTAGAGGCAACGGCTACCAAGTGTTACTCGCACGTGGACATCCCCACCATCAAGAGGACAAGGCAGCCCATGGACGTCACAAGGGGCAACGAGACGGCAGATGGGCACGCCCAACGTGGAACACAGACCGCAGGCAACCTTATAGCTCCGCAGGTTGAGTGCCCCAGCGGCTGCTAAGACGGGTACACAGGCGCATTGGAGCAGTCACCGCGCATATTGGCAGCTTGGGCCACCCCAAGCTGGAGCGTGACCGACGAAGAGGGGCGCACGGCAAATCCTTCGAGTACCGCAAGCAGATGGAGGCTACCACGGGGCATTGCTTGCACAAGCGGGCGGACGGCAAATGGGTATGCTTGGAATGCGGTAAAGGACAAAGGAAATACTCAGTTATGGCTTGGATGCAGAACATCGCTTGCAGCCCCATGCCCACGATAGCCAACCTGCATACGGCGGTCATCAAGAGCGAGTGCGCCAAGCTGCTGCCCAACGCGGCCATCAACACCAGCCATCACCCTGGGTACCTCCATAGGCAATGTTGGTGCTGGATTTGCGGAGCTATGGGGTCGCTCAGGACCAACGGATGCAGCCGAGTATTGAGATTCAAGAAACCCTGTAGAGCGTGGAAGACCCCACAGCAAAGAATCAGGTAGACCGACCACGCAGAGGACGCCCTCCCAAACCTGGCAAGCCGCAGTGGCTTGACGAAACCCCCGCCCAGATGGGGCCACAGAGAAGGCGCCAGGCTCGAGGAGCGGATAAAACGACCGCGAGGAGGAGGCACCCATCAAGAAGAAGTGTGCGCACCGCGGACTCCAGAAAATAGAGATACGAAATAGTCTGGACAGGGGGCTGTCCGTCCCGCCAGCGAGCGTCGGTGGTGTGCTCCTGCAGCCTGGCGGGAGCGATGCGAGTAACCCGTTGGCTAAGCAGGAGGCACGGTCGCCAGACATGCTAGGAACTGATTGCGACGGAGCACCAGCGGCACCAGCAGAAAAGCGTGCACGGCGAGGCGAGCAGCAAGCATACCCCGCGGTGGCATGGTCCAGTTCGGCAACCATGGTGGGGACACCTCCAAGTTCGGCCTGGAGGCCTCCGACGACTTGGGCAGCCTCGACCTCAGCAAGTCTAGCGGCGCGTTCGGCAACCCCTGCGGGGGCATCGTCCAGTGCGGCAAGCCCCGCGGGGGCGATGGGCATGGGCGGCCAGCAGCCCGACCAGCCGACGACAGGGAGAACGACCGGCAGACAAATGGCCACAGACCCGTACTTCCTCGAGGTCGAAGAGAACACTTTCGCAGGCAAGAAGGTGATGACGAGGCTGCCCCTTCACAGGACGACGACGCCAGCACAGCAGGCACACCGCGAACAGCCCCTGACACTGGCAGCGGACATCGCGGCAGCCGCCCAGGCCGTAAGTGACACCCAGACCACCGACGACTGGCCTGGCATGCCAACCACGCCAACGCCCCGTACAGCCTCAAAATCGCGAGGCATCGGGCGAGGCACCTGCCCGCTGGAATCGGAAGGGAATGGACAAGGCCACAACATGCACAACCGCGAGGGGGGCATGCGTGAACGATCCCCACGGCGGTCAGGCAAGGGAGGGGGAGGACGGCCACTCCCTGCGTCCCGAGCCCCGCTGCCCAGCCACGGAGGACACGCTGTTGCGGTCCCTCCAGAGCGAGAGCAGCCAGGCTCCAGACCTGCAGCGAAGGTGCTGCTAGGTTCGCCGAGGGGGGGGGGGGGCCAGCCATGAGGAGGAGGCTGGGTACCCGCGCAGACCAGAGGAGACAGCGCAGGTGGCTCGCTCTACCAGTGACGGCGCAAACTACACAAGGCGCACAGAGGAGCAACTGGCAGAGCAGGGCCGCCGACTGGCTCAGGCTGCTCGAGCCGCCGCACTCCGAGCAGCAACGGAGAGCCTGGAGGCCACCAGAGGAGCAAAGCGAGCAGGACCGCCCGATGGCCCGTCAGCAGAGGAGCAGACCAAGGCGCCAGCCTGGCAAAGCCAGCGGGCCTGTCGCCCGCCAGCCGGGAGGGGCTGCGGGGGGCGCGCCAGAGCGGACCCGTAGTGGGAGCGGGATCAGGACCGCGGCTCCCGAGGCGGCAGGCGCCCGCGCCAGTCGGGCCAGGAGGCACGGCGCCGTCAATCCGCTTCCTCCTGCGATAGACGGCGGCAGCCGCTCGGCGCAGACGGCCGAGCCGCGGGCGAGAGGGCGGCGCTGACGGCCGCCGCCGCGCGGGCCCTGAGGCCCCGCCGCGGCCGTGCGGCGGCGCAGGACGGCCGCGCGCCGCGCGCTCGCGCGAATCGCGCGAATGGAGCGCGCGAGGTGCGGGTGGGGGGGGGGGACGACGCGGGCCCCCCCCACCCTAAGAGCTGCCCAAGAGCTTTTTCCTCCGCCGTCCCTCCGCCTCCGCTCTTCCTCACCTCCTCCTCCTCCTCCCTCTTCTCCTCCTCCTCTCCTCCTCCTCCTCCTCCCACTCCTGCTCCCCTCCTCCTGCTCCTCTCCTCCCTCCTCCGTCCTCCTCCTCCTCCTCTCCTCTCCTCCTCCTCCTTCCTCCCCTTCTCCTCCTCCTTTTTCCTCCCCTTTTCCTCCTCCTTTTCCTCCTCCTTTTCCTCCTCCTTTTCAGCCCTTTCCTCCGGCTCCTCCTCCTCCTACTCTCTACCTCCTCCCTACGCCTCCTCTCCTCCTCCGCCTCCTCCTCCTCTCCTCCTCCTCACTCCTCTCTCCTCCTCATCCAGCTCCTCCTCCTCCGCTCCTCCCCCTCCTCCTCCTCCTCCTCCTCCTCCGCCCCCCCCCTCCCTCCTCCCCTCAGCCCTCTCTCCTCCCCTCCTCTCCTCCCTCCTCCTCCTCCCTCTCCTCCTCCGCCTCCTCCCTTCCTCCTCCTCTCCTCCTCTCCTCCTCTCTCCTCCTCCTCCTCCTCCTCCTCCTCCTCCTCCTCCTCCTCCTCCTCCTCCTCCTCCTCCTCCTCCTCTCTCTTCCTCTCCATCACCTTTTATTATACATACCTTCTCCTTGTCACATCCCCAGACGTGTCGGTAGGGCAGGCGGGGCGTTTTGCCTCAGACGCCCTCACCATCTATGATCCTGAAATTTGACATGTTTCAAGTGTTTGACAGATGAAAGGGCGGGCCGTTTTCAGAATGTGGTTGTCCCTTCAGCGCCGCGCACATTCGTCTTAAAGGTTTGCAGCAGCTTCGCAGATGGAGGGGGGCATATTCAACATGTGGTTCTCGCCTTAGGGTTGCGCGCATTCGTTTTCAACGTTTGCAACAGTTTCACGGATGGAAAGCGGGTCGTTTTCAACATGTGGTTATTGCTTTAGCGCCGCGCTCACTCGTGTTGTAAGTTTGCAGCAGTTTCAAAGATGAAAGGTTGCTATTATTCAAAATGTGGTTCTTGCATTAACGCCGCAGAAATTCATTTCACAAGCTTGCAAGAATTCGCACGGTCGAACTCCCAGGAATGGTGTTCTGGCCAGATTTAAGATTGTTTGGAAGCGTGTCATGTTGATTCGTGGTGTTGAAATCCGAGGAATGCTGTTATGGCGTGATTTAGGATTGCCAAGACGCAACAGTCTTGTTGATTCGCGACGCTGAGCACCCAGGAACTGTGTTTGGGATTCTCGAACGGTTGTCTTTGAACGGGGCATTCCCCGCAATGAAAACGAGTTCTTGTAGGGCCATTTGTAGAGTGAACTTGGAGGGAGGGTGTATTGCAACATCGTTGATGCGTGTTGGGTTTGCACTGGTCCTCATCCTGAGCCTCCTCCTCCTCCTCCTCCTCCTCCTCCTCCTCCTCCTCCTCCTCCTCCCTCCCTCCTCCTCCCTCTCCCCTCCTCCTCCCTCCTCCTCCCCCTCCTCCTCCTCCTCCTCCTCCTCCTCCTCCTCCTCCTCCTCTGCTCCTCGTCCTCCTCCTCCTCCTCCTCCTCTTTCTCATGCAGGCGGCCAACGAGACGCCGTCAGCTGCCGCGGCCCCTGCGGAGCCGCAGCAGCAGAAGCACCAGAGGAAAAGGCATTGATACCGCTACCCTTGCCTCGTTCTCGCCTTCTCTGGCCTCCTGGGAGGCCTTCGCTCCGAGGGGGGACTTTATACATGACCACCGCCTGGAGGATCAATTTTCGGGGACCTCTGCAGGCGGTGGATGTGGACAGATTCGGGCCCCTGGGGGCCAAAATACATCCATACCCACCGCCCGCTGGGGCACCAGGACGTCGGTTCCCAGGTGGTGGATATGGATAGATCCCCACCTCGCATTCGCCCCCGCTGGATGGGCCTCGAAAGTCTTGTCGGCACGCAGGTCCAGGGAGCAGCGGTATCGGCACCCTCTGGCTTCCCCGGAGGAGGCGGCGGCGGTGCCAGCGACCGCCGGCGAGGCCGAGGAGCCGAGGGGGGACAGGCGGGAGGCGGCGGAGCCGACGCTCCGGGAGGAGAAGCGGAAGGACGCGGCCACGGGCAAGGGCACGGGCAAGGGCAGCGGCGCCCAGAAGAGGGGGAAGCCCAAGCGTAAGGCTTGAGCGCACGCGGGGGGGCCGCCTTCGGGCGTCGGCCGTGGGCACAGGCGGAGGGTCCAGAGTCGGCCCTCTGAGGCCTGCTCTCCACTTGCTCTTCCCACCGCCCTTCCAGTCTCCGGCCTCCACTTGCTCTTTCCACCGCCCTCCACTTGCTCTTCCCTCCACTGTGCTCGTCCCACCGCCCTTCCATACTCGTCTCTTCGCGCGAGCGCTTAGGGCAAGGTCTGCTGCGAGGGCATCAGATTTTGAAATTCTGCATCGGCTTTAATTTAGGAGCCTTGCGCCGAAATAGCGCAGTTTTAGGATCTCCGGCGACCCCTCCTGGAGGCGGTCTTTGCAGCGTGTTTCGAAGGAGACGCGGCCTATGCAAGATACATCCGGGGGGCAATCTTGCGCGCCCGGGGCGGCAGGGAAGAGGATGAGGATGAGGATGAGGATGAGGATGAGGATGAGGATGAGGATGAGGATGAGGATGATGAGAATGAGGATGATGATGAGGATGAGGATGAGGATGAGGATGAGGATGAGGATGATGATGATGAGGATGATATGATGATGATGATGATGCTGATGATGATGATGATGATGATGATGTCGGCGACGACGATGATGCTGATGATGATTATGATGATGGCTTATGATGATTATGATGATGGTTGATGATGATGATGATGATGATGATGATGATGATGATGATGATGATGATGATGATGACGATGATGATGATGATGATGATGATGATGATGATGATGATGATGATGATGATGATGATGATGATGATGGTGATGGCGATGGTGATGGTGATGGTGATGATGATGATGATAGTGGTGGTGGTGGTGGTGGTGATGATGATGATGATGATGATGATGATGATGATGATGATGATGATGATGATGATGACGATGACGATGGTGGTGGTGGTGATGATGATGGGGATGATTAGCATGATGATGGTGACGACCAGGAGGAAGAGGAGGAGGGATAATGTTTCGGGAGGACTTCGGGTATTTGAGCGCGCTCCCGCGTAGCGGGCAGTAGGATGGATCGAAGAGATTCCAGGCAGGAGGAAGAGGAGGAAAGGGGGGAGGAGGAGGAGGAGGAGGAGGAGGAGGAGGAGGAGGAGGAGGAGGAGGAGGAGGAGGAGGGGCAGGGGGAGGAGGAACCTGAGAAGTTCAAACTGACAGGTGCTCCCCGTGATCACACAGAGTAAAAGCGCCAGCTCGAGCGTCTTAACAGGTTCAGCCGACTCGCACCCTCCCTCCCTGCTGTGTGTTTACAACCAACGCCGACAGAAGAACAGTGGAAGCGTTGTTAGCTCCCCCTCTCGAAGTATCCGTCATGCATCATGCGTAAAATCGCGTGGGAGACAGACTCGACTCACCGTTGTTCGTGTGACTGCCGTGCAGAGTCTTGCTTGTGGTTGAAAGAAGCGCGCGATGTTCACGATGCATCTGCCTTTATGCGCTAGATGAGTTGTTTGCCGCGCGGCCCCGAATCAGATAGACGTGGCCTCCGAAAACCAGTGTCGCAGCGAAGCGTGAGCTCAACTTTCAATGTACATCTGCTCGGCATGGAAGACAAGAGCATCATTGTCTTGCTCGTGCGCGCGATGTGCGCCATGCCCCACTCCCGCCACGCGCTTTTGCAGTGGCGGCAGGACAGCGCCGATGTTGCCTGTACGGCCCACGGGCCTCGAATCTCCCGAAAGGGGCCGCAGCCCCCTCGCCGTCGGCCTCTGCTTGGAGCCAGCGATAAGCGAGCACGAGCATTCGTTAGCAGGGAAGCTGTGCCAACGATGAGCGAGCACGAGTGTTCCTCAGCAGGCGAGCTGCGCGTAAAAGTGCACGGAGTGGCGCTAGCGGTGGTAGGGAGCGGGTGCGGAGGGAGGGAGCGGGGGGGTGGGGGTACGAGCATGAGCAGGAGCAAAGCTAGCCAGCTCGAGCGAGCCAGCGGGCCTCGCCCACCTCCGTCTTTCCCCCCCCTCCCCCGCATGCCAAAGTTGGCACGTTCTTTGAAGACCACTCGGAGGCCCAAAATCGGACGATCCGAAACCAGCACTGCATTTGGGGGGAGGGGGGGGAGTTCGAACCATATGTTACGCATGAGTGTTGCTCAATTGTTTCCGATACCTCCCTCTCTCCACCGTGCATTGCGGATTAATTCGCATTCGTATGCCCTACCAACGCTCTTCCGCCAGCGCAGTCACTCCGCCTGGCCGCCGACGCAAAAGAGGTGTCTGGCACCTGTATGTTTTATCTCTCGAGGGCTTCCTGGAGAGTGATGGGGCACGTCTTGGGGCCTGTCGGAGGCCACTTGGTGCATGTGGGGCACCTCGTGGGAGCTCCGGGGCACGTCTGGCGGAAGTGCCAGGCCATTCTGGGAGAGCCGCGAGGGTGCGTCGGGCCTTCGATGGGGCCGCCTCGGGAGGGGCGGCGCACACGCCTTCGCGGCGCGGGGGCGAGAGCAGGGCCTCGCTGGCTCGCCCGAGGCCTCGCCTCGGACGGCCCAGCCCGTCGGAGGACACGCGCCACGCCCGGGCGGGAGTGCCGTTCCCGGGAGAGATCGACGCGGCGAGTCGGCGAGAGAGCAGGACTGCTCTTGCTCGCGCGCGATGTGCGCCGCGCGCTCACTCCCTGGGGGGACTCCTCGGCAGTGTGTCAACGCCAAAACTCGGAGGGCACCAACTATACACCAACACCGATCCTGGCTCAGGATCACCCTGGGCCCAGGATCGGTGTATATGCCTTCTTGCCCAAGGCAGGAGGGCGTATACACCGATCCTGGGCCCAGGGTGATCCTGGCCAGGATCGGTGTTGGTGTATAGTTGGTGCCTTCCTAAAAACGGGAAGGTCGAGAAGGGCTGCCCTGCATGGACAAAAGGTTGCACCACGCTGCGCTGTTCTTCGCACGCATGCGTCAACCCTTCTCCCCCCCTCCCCTCCCAATCTATTATTGGGGGTATGCGAGAATGAGCTCCTCCGGATTTCCAAGGCGCCCGACATGATGTTGCACCACCGAGTTGTTTCGGCGATCCCGGCCCGTAAACGTCGATTGCACAACGACGTCTGATGTCGCGGGCACCAGGTGGTGCAACATTTTGTCGATGTACCGTACGTCAAGCTTGTTCTGTTTTTGAGCGGGGAGGGTGGAACAGGTCCCTCTTGCGGCGTGCCGGGGCAAGCGGGGCGAGCGTGTGCAGGAACATCAAGGAGCAAGGGGAGGAGAAGGAGTTCAGACAGCCAGCTCGAGCGAGTCAGCGGTCCCCACCCTCCCCCCGTTCTCCCCCATGACATGGGAACCAACGCCGACACACCGTGTCAAAACCGCGCGCTGCATTTGTTTTAAGCGTGCGCGAGTCCACACACGGCCTCAGCACGTAAACTTAACCGATGTTAACCGCGCCTGCGACGTTTGCATGCTCATCCGGTCCCGATGGTCGTAGCCGCTGAAAAGTTCAGCCGTGCCCGACGCAAGCGTGTTTGCGTGGCGCATAGATCCCCGCGAAAAAAGTTTATAACAAAAGTGGTACAAGGATGGAACCCGAAAAGATGTTGAATCGAATCGGGCGGGGCCCGTCGCATTGAGTGACATTGGCCTGTCAGTGTTACGGAACGCCATGTCGTCTGCATTGCGCGGTGCATGTTAGCCGTCCGATTGTAGGAACAAAGCCAGAAGGCATGATTGCGAAGGCCTTACGGCCGGTGCCGCCGACCCTGTTCGCAATGCGCAGCAAGAGGCACGGGCTGTGGGATGATTTTGGGGAGAGGGGGGAAGGACGAGAAGGTGGCGTCGTATCTGACCCGGGACTTCCCCGGGACTCCCCCGGGACCCCCCCCGGGACCCCCCCTCCCCCCCCCGTCGGGGAAGGGAAAGGGAAGGGGCTTCCCTTCGACTCAATTACGACGTTGCTCAAGGTCGGTTTGGCTGGCGCGCTTGAGGAGGAGGCCCTGGGAAAGACCCTCCCTCCCCCTCCCGGCGGGGGAGAGATTAAAGGGAAGGGGCTTCCCTTCGAATCAATTACGACGTTGCTGAAGGTCGGTTTGGCTAGCGCGCTTGAGGAGGAGGCCCTGGGAAAGGGCGAGGGGAGCGGGGAGGGGCCCAGGGGAAGAGGGGTACCAGGGAAAGGGAACGACAGAGACGACGATTACAAAGAATGACGGAGATGACGGCTCGAACGGAAAAGCCCCTCACACACGCCGACAGGGTCGGCGGATTTGGAACCGCCCATGCCAGCGGCCCAGTGAAGGATCAACTTGAAAGAACACCCGGGCATGAAGCGGCATCCGCCTCCCAATGTTGCCTTTGGGCGTGGAAGCCAACGTATGGCATATCAGTAACCTGGCCCATGGTGCACACCTGCGCACGCTGCCAACATTGAAAGGAACATCTCACGTAATGGTTATCTTTGGGCGTTGCCGTTTGCAGATCGTTCAAGATGATCGTCTTGTAACAAGACGATCATCTTGAACGATTGTTGGTTGTGTTAGAATTGTCCCGGCTGTGTATGCGAGGTCAGTAGTATTTCTTTTGATCGGGCGCGACGTGCACCCCGTTCCGCTCTTGCCACACATGTTGGCAATGTCGACGACGACTGTTGTAGGCTGAGAGGTTCCGTTCGGATCCAAGACAGCGAAATCGAGTTGAGCGGAGCATTCACCGCGTGCGGAATACAAAAGGATTGGCTGCTCGGAAGCACCGAACACGGACAGGAACGGAAACAGCAGGATAATCCAGCTCGTGCGAGTCATCAGGTCCTTTCCGCTCCAACTCACCCCCCCTCCCATAACATTGCGGCCCGCCTGAGACAGATCCGAGGCGGTCCGCCCCAATACAGTCGGGGCGCTGAAAAAGGAACCCTTCTCGTTGGGGAGGGGCTCCGTGTTCCTTAGTTGTTTCGCAGTTTGCCTTAGGTTTGCCTTAGGTTTTCCATGGGACATCGAAGTTCAATGTGTGGAGAAAAGGGGCATCGTTCCTTATTTAGGGTTCCTTAGGTCAACGCCCCGACTGTACTCCTCAAACGGCGACCGCACGAGTAGGTCCATTGTGACTTTTCCGCTACATGTCTCGCGCGTTCCGCACGGCGCGCCCCATTTCTGGTCGGCCACTCGCAAAAGGTTGGAGAAAGATGGCATACGAATGCGCAAGAAGGGGGGGAATAAAATGGCGCCGTCAAGTTTTCACGCGTCGGAATTGATGCATGCGTGAATTCCGGCGGGGACAGACTACGAGGTTGATCCAGACTGGGATGTGTGAACATGTGGGGGGGGCAACCATTCATTTACTTGTTGCGATGGTTTGTGCACTGTCGAACAGACATGTTGCGATTCATCGGTTGGTTTTCCTTCTGGCAAACGAATGCCATATGACACGCCCGTGACGACC